TTAACAGTATGATCTTCATAAATGTAGAATTTGTGGATTGAGTTGCATTAAATTGCAATACATTGATAGGCATAGGCACTACATTACATTCGCTCTCTAAAGGCCATAGGAAATACCTAACCCTGAGCCTTGTTCCTAAACTCGCCTTGTGTGTAGTAGATGCAACTACAATGAAACCACAATGGGGACATTATTGTTGTATTAAATACAAATAAGTTGGTGTACTCTTTATTGACTGAACTACAGAAATACACACACACACACACACACACACACACACACCAGCGACGAGCAGGAGATTATAGAACAGACTGTTCTATTCGAAGAAAATTGCTTGTATTTCTATAACAACCCCATCAGTTGAAATATAAAAGAACAGAAAGAAAACGACCATTTCAGAATTTCAGACTTTTTATCACACATATAAATGCCGATCATTGTGCGAACAGTTTCCACAGCATAAAACATGTGGATGCATGTGAGTGAGTGTGGGTGTGTGTGTCTGACCTGATGTGGCACTAGGCCCAAAGAGGTGGGAGGTTCATTCATTCTGTCGTCACTGCTGCTGGCCACTGCATAGCCTCTGAAGATGGAGAAAATAATATAGTTGACACTGTTTGCAAACTTTGGCAAGATTTCCCTGCTATGCAAAGACTTTAAAACATGTAGTCTCTGTAAACTGTAATCTCCTTAAACATCCCACAATATTACACATTTTATGTCAAGTATACACAGTAGTAGCAAATTATATATGAAAATGTAATGTCACAGAACTGTTAATTTGGTAGCCTATATTGAGGACTAGGAGGTTTCATTTGCTTGAACATCAAAAAAGTTAGATTTCTCTGAGAGCTCCTGCTTACCAGTAAATCTAGGCAGGTTTTAAAGATTTGACTCTGTGCCAATAACAATAACCAAAACATCAAGTCTCACACTGAGCTCAGGGTGGTTCTGCAAAGTAAGAAATGTCTGTCAAACTGCTGTAAGATTAATTCTAACGTGACAATTTTCTAAAGCACATGGTTGTTCATATGAAGGCTGGTGTAAGGGCCTTAAGAGGGATAAGGACATGGAGTGATGGAGGTTATAAAGAAAGGAATAAACTAAAATAAAAGGGAGATCTTGTGGTAAAGGAAGGAGTTACACAACCATAGAGGTAAAGAGAGTATATGAAAACTCTTCTTCTTTTCTTTGCTTTCTAAGCTTTTTATCCAGGATAGGCAGACCAGCTCTGTTACAGCTTATAACATCTCAGAAACACACAGAGAAAATGGCTGTCTTATCAGGCCCAGCAAGCAGCCACTTTAGTATAAAACTTGCACCAAAACAGGCACACACAAATACATCTCCACAAAGACACACCCGTTCACATGAACACACACTTAATAGGCATGAAAACATCCCCATCAGCGTTTGAGAAAAACGGGAAAAAAAACTTTTAAGAACCGAAAATATGGAGCTAGTGCAGATTGCCAAGTGAACTTGAGAGCTGACTGAATTACAGTGTTGGAAGCTTTTGAAGCGTAAAAGTCAGAGACAGATTATAAATTGCAACAAAGCTTTCACAGTGAACACAAGTTTTTGGGCTCAAATAAATTCGGGAAGCTGTGCTACAGCCAAATTAAGGATACTACCTGCATCATCAGCTGCAATGCTGCTCCATCAAAAAGCAAAAGTAAGCGAGTAAAGCTTACTAAAAGTTTAGGAGCCACAACCTCACAGGTTTGATCTTAAAGTGTGCAAAAACGTTTGTGACCGTCATCAATATTTGCATACTTCTTGTTTGTTGTTAGGTGAGATTAAAATGTAAGCATGCCCTTGACCAAAAGTAAGCCAGTATGCACAAAAACCAGCATTTTGTTCTGTGAAATATTAATAATGATAATGAAAAAGCTATTTACTTTATTTAAACACAGAAGAAAACATTATAATTGATAAAGTAGGCTTATTGCTATCAGTTTCCTGATTACTGTGTATGGCATACCCTATTGTCATGTGCTGCCCAAAGTTCTCCAGTTAAACCACAGTACATTCAGTTTCCATATGTTCAGCAGACCCAGGTAAATCAATGTATCAAGGCACCATCTCCAAATCCATTCCCCTTCCTCAACTGAAAACAATTCCATTCAATCACATCTTGAATGCAGTGGGTTGCTGCCCAGGGGGAACACATGACCTGGCTGCACCTGACTGCACCTGACTGCACACCTGACAGAGAAACCTCTCCAATGATGGCTCCAATGCACTCATCCATGTCTGTTGAAATGTCTCATTCCCTTTCTCTTTTCTTTTTTTTTTTCTGAATTTAACATTACCTGTCAAATGTCAGTGGCTTGTTGGTTTGCACATAGCACTTAAGTCTGCTGCCCTTAAATTGATTTATTGGGGGCTTTCCATATGCTAATTTCATATTGCCACACACACCCATCCAATTTGAGATCAAACACAATTCAACATACTGTGGGTAAGAACAGACTTGGCTGTCATCACACGTTTCGTGAATCCCACGTAGGTTTTTCTTATTTTCCTCTTATTGCTTCGTGCACAAACAAATATAAAAGAAAAATAAGAAAACCTTCATGCATAAGGCCCAATCTCCTTTAGTAGCAGCATAAAGCTGTGAGGACTTCATGGTGATCGTGGTGATACTGGTGATCAAGGCTGCGCACTAAGGTAGATGAGTGTCTGACTCCCAACCCAACAAAATCCTGACAAAATCCTGCTCATATATTTCATGAGAGAGGCGCATAGGAGTGGAATAAGTAGTTTAAAAGTTGCAAAACTAAACTCCAGCACACTGTCCAACTTGCAATATAACATGTATTTGCGACATTTTGGTACTAGACCTTCAAAATCGTTGCAAATAAATATTGTATTGCAACTTCTGACTTCCAACCAGAAAAGTGTTTTCAAGCATCAAAGGTAAACTCAAGTGGCTATCAGGGAGCATCCATGAGGACAGGTCAGAGGTAAAGTATCTGCCGCTGTCAATCATAGAATCAGGGCAAGAAAATAAATGATCAGTACTGTTTTCATGTTTTCCCAGTAACATAGAATTGAATATGTGCATTGCGTGTATTAAATGTAACTATATATATTACTATATTCAATTAAGCAAAAATAAACTTTTAACTATTGCACATAAGACAGCATTTTTAAATTAGTTTTTGAATAAAAGCAAGTGCATATAGTGCTTACTACAACTCAGTGCTCAAGACACCGTATTATGAATGTATGACCAGACCAGTACTACTATTATTGTTACTACTACTGCTACTACTACTACCACTACTACTACTAGGATTCCTAATAATTAGACTACAAAACTTTTTGTGTTCACGTACCCTTCACTGTGCTGCAGAATGGATACCATCATCTCAACAGCCAGCGCTCCAGCAATCATGGCCAGGCCTGGTCTGCTGACTGTGCACTGCTGATCCAGAGTCCGATCCCTGGTAGACTGTTTATGACAAAGAACAAAAACAAAAAAATTAACATAAAGTAAACAACTGGCATTAAAATAACAGCAATGCAATCTGCGGTCATTCAAGGTTGTTAAACCTGGGTTTCTTGTGAAGTACGGAGAGACGAGGAGATGAAACGTTTGGGCTATTATGGTAACACTAATAAAGAAGGCAGGATATCTTTTAACAGGTTAAGTTGATAATGTAAGTGACTAAGGATGTGTGAGCTGGCTGAATGTCTTGATTGTAGACTGTTGGCTGCACAATGGCTAGTATGGGAGTCATTTTAGTTAAGTAGCCTGGACCATTGATGTCTGTACCAAATTGCATGGCACTTAATCAAATAGTTAGAGTATTACACTCAAAATAAATAACTGGATCAACAAACCAAAATATGGAAATATGTGCCACACCAAGAGCAGAGTGGCTAAAAACAAGTGTAAGTAAAACAAAGAAAGAAAGAAAACCGTACAAAAAGTATGCCAAGGTTTACTTTCACATTTTCAGCATGTTTCGTTTTCTTATAACAGCTGAGCAATGACACTGTAGTGACAGACGACATGTGTTTGACAATCTGTTGTATCATGTTGCTTCAACCCACAGAAAACAACACAAAAGCCACTTTTATGCTTTTACAACTTTCTGTTCATTCAGCAAACTCAATTCAATATCTAACATTTGGAATTTAGTGAGAGCTGGCTGTGCTTCTAATTCAAATGGTAATATTACTATAATCTGTGACAGCGGGCTGGTGCCATATGGCATTTACAGGAGAAGCAAGAGTTGAAAGGCACAGTTTCCAACAATTGACTGTGGCCTTCAATAGCTGATGAATTGCTTACATACATTACTCCTATCAAAAGGTCATGAGGGAGAAAAAGACCAAAAGGAGAAAAGATACAAAGAAATGGGCATAGGCAGAATGTGGGTGGCGAGAAAAATGTGATTCACACAAGTGGAAAGGTGTGTGAGGCATCTCCTGATTAAACAAAGGATTTCAAAATGATACAATATTTGCAGCATATGACAATGTTAAAAAGGGAAATAGCAACTTTATTCCGAGAAAATGTAAAAATGATCAGAGAAACTGTGAAAATTAAACCAGCAGGGGCATATTATCACAGCAACATTAGCAATCAATTTGAGTTGTATTTCACTGCAACTTCCAAATGTAAGTCCAATATTCACTCTCCTTTAAGCTCTGTTTTGGTCTCCACCATCACCTGAAGAAAATGTCTAGGTCTTTAGCTTCTAAATGCTCCACTATGTTTATCAGCTAATCGCAGACTGTGTCTGTAAACCATTTGGTGCTGGTCAGGTGGTGTATAATGGGATAATCATTTCATGAAAACAGTTGCCTGCTGTGACTGCAAACAAGGCTACTGAGAAAGATGTTTGCGAGCCAAAAACCCAAAACATGAGTTAATGAGTTGTGTGTATCAAGCTTGTTATCTCTGTGTGTTTTCCTCACATCTCCTGGTGCCACAACATCATTGCAGAAGTAGCAGCCCAGCTTGTGCCCTGGGATGTTGGAGAACAGAGAGGATCCTGGGACAGAGGGTGCAGAGCCAGCTGGTGTAGAAGACGAAGAGGAAGCAGAAGAACAGGAAGGGGAAGAGTCTGCCCCTGCAGAAGCACTCTGACTGACGGGGGGTTTCTTCAGGCCATGCCGCATCACAACAAATGTGTCAAAGCCTAGAGCGGCATTCACCACAAGCTGGAAAGTGAAAGACAACAATTATGGTAAATCATGGTAATAAAAGGCACATTTCAACCAAATCAAATGATCTAAATGGCTTACACAAGCAATGTGTCGAATTATTTCAAAAAGCAATGACATAAAAATGGTCTCTTTAATGCATTGAAAGCATCTAGACCTTCAGTGAAGCAATGGAAATAATTTGTGAAGCCAATCTGCGGTGAAGTCTGAAAAAGCCTCACAGCACAAATACCCTCTCTCAGCTGAACAGGCCATGAAGAAAACCTAAAAAACACTTAACTGCTGCTAATATAGCAATATAGGAGTCAGTGTTACCACTGGAGGCCTTCAATTATCTAATGTTGCCTGGCAACAAATAGAATTCCAACTGGTTAACAGAAAATTTGACAGAAACAGAAAATATTACAAAGCAATTTAAATTTCCTGAAAGAGAAATCAAACAGGTTCAAAATGTCCAGTTTAAGTTTGAAGTAAGTAAAATAAGAACAAAGTCATAAATGTCTCCTGCCATAGTGCCATACTGTGACTCTCAATCCACTTGATCCGGAGAACAAATAGATCTATAAAGGCTTGAAAGTCTTTATCCCTTTGCCTTGGTGCCACCATAAAAATCCTTTCAACAATGTACAATAAAGCATGTTCCTTTTGTATATATTTGTGACTATAACATTACAGACCAAATTATGTTTAAACCTGCTACTGCTTTATTTAGCCTTGGTCATATTGCATGCTATAAGACCAAAACATACACTTATTTGTGGGGTTAAATCATGTCAGAATCTTGAACTGATGTGTTACAGTATATTGTCTCTTTTTCAACAACTGATTTATTTTTTACCACTTGGGGTCAAAAGAACTACTTTTACATTATTTTGGTTAGTGGTAGAGTGCAAACCCAAAACAATGCGCTAAAAAGCCCCACATATGTGCAGTCATTTTATTTATTGTTTATACAGAAAATATAAGTGCAGCTTTCTTCATCAACCCTCCATCTCTGACCCCAACCCTGCTGGTCAGTGACAGTGTGGCGGCTCTGTTCATTGTACATACTGTACTGTTCCTTCCTACCTTCCTCTTGCTTGCAGCTATCACTGTAGGCAGCCAGCGGCTCTCCCTCGTATCCATTAGTAAGAAGACCACATCATGTTTTGAAATTAGCTTCTCCAGTTGCTCAACATCCCTCTGTGCCTGGGAAAGAGTGGCCTGAGAGAAATTAACTGGGTGCCCGGGCATGGGGATGCTCATATTGTAACCCTCAGCATTCTGCAATAGAAGACAGGGACAAAGAGGCAGAGAAAAAACAAAGAGATACTGCTGATAAATGGAGCCCATATATACGGTAAAAAGTCAATTTCATATTCAATTTTCTTCAATATGAACAATTATGTTTTATTGGTTTTATTTTATGGTTTTAATTTGAAAATATCTAACATGAAGTCCTTCATATGCACACATGATAAAAATGAAGTTTCAACTTAACTAAGGGATTTCAAATGAATTCTGTTATTGCACATACGAATTGTAAAGTCAAGCCCTCAAATAAAATACTTCAAACAGTATATAAATTGCAATGAAATGTGCTACTGTTGCAGAGACCCAGCACAACAGACCAGCCATAATTTACCCCGCCCACAATAATTTATGTTTTGGTTGTGAGTGGTTATGTGGGATTGCGATGGGGATTGCAATGTAAATGGTACAGTAAATGTTGGTAAATGGTGAATGAACACACTTTAAAATCACAGACTAATTATTAGATTCAATCATGTTGTGTGCATACATAATTTTACAAAGTGATGGTCCGCCCACAATGTGCAACAAGGCAAACATAGCACTTTGTGGAAAAATCTCTGCTTGTTCATACCAACCTTCTGCCCTGAAGGCATATTAGGGCTAGTCAAAAACAAGTAAAGGTCCAAGGTCAATGCATGATTAACTTAATATGTAAGAGCAAACTATAAAGGAGATGGCTAACGGTGTTACGTTAGCCTACGTATGCATTCAGCGTAGATTATTATAGTGGAGAAATCAATGCCAAGTTAAGGTTGATTGTTTGATCCTTAATTGTCAGTGTTCAGTTGGTGCACTTGCTAGCTCATTGCATCTGCGTGTAAGAATATGTGGGTGTGCAAAATTTCTTAAAGCAGGTGCAGTGCACTTCCGGCTCTGGGGAGAAAGGCTGGTCTGTTGTGTCGTCTATGGGCTATACACTTATCTTGTGTGGACAAATGAATCAAAACGTGGGAACGAACTGTATCTCATACACATGCAATGTAGTAAAACATTGCTTCAATAGGTTTTTTTCTGTCTATGGCCACTCCAGGGCTCCATATAACATACTTCCACACTTTACGTCTCATTGGGTCTTTTTACAGAACTGTGTGAGACTGAGGAATGTGTAATCACATCGACATAGCTGACCTGAGACCAGCGCGTGTTCGGCTTTCTTGTAAAAGTCGATAGCAGAGTATGAAAAGTAAACCTTGAATTGGCACTTCCAATTCCACAAAAAATCTTTAGTGACTTTTATTGTCCCTTGCCAAACCTGTAATATTGTGACTATCTCCAGGGATTGCAGACGTGACAGTGAGGCAAATTGAAATGTCAAGAGGAATTTCAGAGTCAAGAGAAGGATCGAAAAGGGCAAAGACGAGGTGTGAGATCTTAACAAGAAGAAATGCCACAGAATCAGTGGATCTACTTCCTCGCTCTCCACATATTAAGAGTGGGAGCTGTTAACCAATCTTGAATTTACATTTCACTTTGACGTAAGTGTTGCTAAGCATTCAGGGGGTGATTTCAGGCTGTAGAGATGGTAATCATATTCCAATTTCCAGTGTAATCAAACTTAACTTGAAGGCAGGAAAGACAGAATTCAGATTGTGGAAAAATCCTTTCCTGAAAAGATAAACAGCATTTCATAACAATCCAACAATGCCACTGTTGATATCTTCAACCAGCTCTGACCTGACTGTTGACAAAATTTAAAGAGAAAAAAAGAAGTTGGTGCTAACACTACAAACTATCCTGTAAATGTCAGGCGACAGTATTTGTCCACAGACAAAAAATGAAATCTGCTCATGACCTTTTCAACATTGTGACCTCGTGTGAACCGGTTCCTCTCGGTTCAGTTGATGCACTTCTGTACTCTTTGCTCACTGTGTTCACATTTCTTTCTAGCTTTCACACTGGCACCTGATGCCCCTGTGTTTGTTGGAAAACAAGCAGAGGAAGGGAAGAGAGAGAAGCAGGCACACACCCACACTCATAAAAATAGGAGTGCAGGTATGGATGCAGCTAGTATGGGGTAGACACACAAAGTGTCTAGACAGATACCTCACATCATGACAGCAAAGAGCCATCAAAAGTGTTAAACCCTCTGTTCTTTACTTTCTATTTTATTCCGAGAAGAATAAAAGAGAGGGGGTAGAAAGAGAGGCTCAGATATCAAGTTGTCATCAACTTGATATGGTGATATGACAATTATTTGTGTGGGTGTGTGTGTTTGTGTGTATCACGGGTCTTCTTGTCTCTGACACTATAATTCCGGCCCATTGTATCTCGTTTCAGGAACAACCTATTACCGAGCTGTGATTGCAAGCATTGCGGGGTCAATAATGTAGCTTGAATCTGCTGCCTTAAAGCCCGAAAAGGATAAAAGAAATGTCATTACACAGACTGTGCTCTCCTATTCTGATACCATAGAATAGCAGCACTGTAATGTTGCAGTTGGCCAATGAGGAGCCTATTTTAACTGCTTTATTTTGGTAGTTACTCTATAACAATGCATCATGTGTTGCATTGTAAAATCTTGATTTTAAAAGTAACTACAGCTGTCAATGTAAATGCAGTGGAGTAGAAGTGTAAAGTAGCAGAAAATTGAAGGGAAGGGTAACTACCTCAAAATTGTAATTGAGTACATGTACTTAATTCTTTTTACCAAATGGGTGAGAACATTGTTATTTTTACTTTTGTTATCTCCTTCATACCAGCATTACATAACATGGAAGTGAATCATCCCATTGTGAATTGCTTACACCTTCCTGCACCTAAATAGGCATGCATCCATACACGTAATTCACATCATAAATATGCATTCAGGCCACGTTTTGAAGTGGCTTAATAAGAGATTGGTGCTCTTTTCATACCAAAACAGAGCCCTGCTGTGAGTGTTTGGCTGATTTTTCATTTAGTAATATAGTCAAATATCTCCCCCAGAGAACCCGCTCATTAATTAACAAAGTAATGAATCCACCCATATTAATATGCAAGCAACAAGATCCTTCATTTTCCGTCTGGGTTGGCCATCACATCTCAGACATGATGAAACAAACAGTAATACGATTATACACCCAGCATAAACAAAATTTAGATTACTATGATATCAGTGCAGTTATACAGTAGTGACATTTTGCAGAAGGGTAAAAAAAAAATCAACAAAAGCATAATTCTCATCAACTTTATGAATAAAAACTAAGGACAGATTCCAAGATGACACAATCTTTGATTTCCCAAGAGCAAGCAATGATTTGATCCTCATATAGAAAGAGAGATAAAGATATCCAATTGCACACCTGAGCATTATTATTTGACTTTAAGTACTCACCACACCAGGAAAGATTTTGGTGAGTCGGTCAACAGCTGCCATGGCTTTGACCTTCCCTCCACCAAGACAGTCCTCAAACTCATAGAGCGGTTGCCGAACTGGGTTGGAGTATGAGATCTTTGCATTGTCTACAAATGTGATGTGTCTCACTCCCCATCCCTGGAGAACAAAGGAGAAACATAATTCTTAATTTCAAATGACTTTATTTTGAAATACTTAAATACTTAAATGTATATATATATATATTATGAATACTGTCATAAGCAGCAGTAGATGGTGGCAACAGTAGCAATGAGTGGGAGGTTGTTTGCCTGGTGTGTATTTTTTATTTTAAAAGTATTCATTTTGAAATAATGGATGCATCAGTGTGCAGATTGTACAACCTTAAGTTATTCTAGCTGTTTTTCCAATAATATCACTCTCTGTTCAAACAAAGTCTAGCCACACTACCAATTACATTACACCAGGGTATTTTTTCTGCCTATGCTGACTGACAAACTGTCTGAAGAGCCCGTGGAACAATAAATGAAAATGAAGCATAGACGTGCATTAAAATGAAAGGTATAACCAGTCAGCAGCAATGCACTGACAGCTCTCCAATGAGGTAATTTACGTTTCTAACAATCAAACAATTGTATTCTAGGTTATGTGTGTTAATAGACAAATGAACATATCTGTTTACAATTTAAGCCAAATAAATATATATTTGTCCACATCTAAAAGTGGTGTGAATCAGTACAAGTCAAGCTGAGCTCAGTGAAGCTGAAAGTGGTAATTAAAGAATAAACTAACTTCATAACTAGTAGGTTATATTTGTGATTAACCTAAAAAGGGCACCAGCCTTTTGGATTTGGTCACTGAATAGAGCACATTCATTTGATGCTGGGGGAAACAGACTTACTGTAAATACAGAGAATGACAGTAGGTTCTTGCATAAATCAGTATTATGTTATTTCAAGTGTTATTGGATAAACTTCATGTGAAATCTGTGGATCACGGGACCCTGAATTACGCTGTTATAAAGCTAAACAACAGATCTCACAACCCCTGAGGAGACACATTTTTTACAGTATCCAGCTAATTTCATCATACACTTTTGTACCTTGTTTAGCCAGTAAAAGTTGGCAGGAAGAGGACAAGATTCTAACAAATCATTTGTAATTTGCCTGCAGATTAATTTGTTTGGAGAGCATCTCTCCCGAAAAAGTGCTGCTTACATTCTCAGAAGAGATAACAGTTTTTAGGAGTTGTGTACAGTGTTGACTCGTAAAACTCTTTAGTGAGACAATTAGTGCTTCATTGATCAATAATAAATTAACTGAGCTTGTATTTGCCAAAACGAAGAAGAAGTTATTTTACTCCTGATTTAGCACTTACTGATTGCTGTCTGTGAATGTCAACTGTACCCATATGTACAATATTATAACAATTTAACATGTACAATCAGATATCACTTGAGGTGTTTTTTCTTTAATGTCACTGATTGCAGCACTTGGGAAGCAATATTTTTCAATTGTCTTACCACTTATATGTTTGATGGTAGAGTCAAATTAAGTGACAGGTAAGATGCTTTCCTAAGATGTTTCCTCCAGATATCCATAGCAAAAGTTGGTTAAACTATATCTGTAAATTTCTTTTGGGAGTACGGTTTTGAATTTGGTTTTGCATCAAGATTATGATCTCCCACTTAAATAAGACATTTTGCTGTTTCAGTTTTACTGAATGTGGGTGTCGTTCAAAGTTAATCTGTTTAAATCCTGTTGTGTTAGGTTGAGTTAGCTCACTGATAGGAGACTTACAGTACGTCAAAGTGAAATGGAGTGTTAATATCCTTTTTCCAAAAACATCAATCTTGTGTAAAAATGTAAGACACTTAATGGATTCTGATGGGTATAAAAGCTTAATGCTGTTGAAGGCACATTGATCTGGGGCTAGTACAGCAAATACTAAAACAAAAACCTGGTAATTAAACATTGGGCCACTAGTGATCTAAAACTCTACTGGGTACTTTTGAACACTTGACTAATAAGAAAAGATTATAAAAAAGATAAATGACACTAATTACACAACCTTTATGGTCAAATATAAAATATTACACTATTTGCTAAGCCATAAAAAACAGAAAAACAACAAACAAAAGACACTGATAGCATGAATTGTGCCACCACTATCTGCCGCATCTTATGGTCCAATCCATAAAATATACTGCAGTAATGATAATACAGCACAAATAGGCAACCAATTTTGCACCAGAGGGGAATTTGCCATTGTTTTGCATTTGTTAAATGTTCATCTCCATTTTCTATAGAAATGTTATCTGTCTGTGCAATATTTGTTCTTTTTTTTTTTCCAAATCTTTTTATTGAGATTTTCCAACACAATGACAGTATGTCGCTATATTTGTTCTTAAGGTAGCATCACATGATATGGGCAAGCAACATTGGAGTTAAAACAATGTTAAAAATGCAGTTGGAAAAACAAAACTTGCCATGTAAATTCTCAAATGTTTGATTTTAAAGATATTACAATTATTTTAATTATCTATTAACTCCCCCTGCTCTTTCATTCATTTCCATCTACGGGATGTCTCTTGTTTTTCTATGACTCACTCTGTATTGAGTGTTCTGTCATAGTGATTGTTATTTGAGCAGCATTAACTGTGCACTCTCTCTCCTGCCCTCTCGGCACAGGGAGAGCTGTTTTCTCTCCACTCCGCTCTATGTTGGACTGTTATAGTTTGTAACCATCTTCTGTGTTTCTCAACAGTAGCTTTTAAATTCTTTAACAGTTTCATTCCCGCATGTTGAATATCCGGTATTGTACTGTCTCTGTGCCATCTGTGCTCATATGATGTACAGGATCTGTTATTGCTTCGCCTGGCTACTTGCTTGGCAGCACAGTTAGGGGTGCATTTCACCCTGTGCAGGTGCTTTGAGAATTACACAATTTCTTATTCGTCTTATTTGTGCTGTTTTAGCGGCCGCAAAAGACGCCAATCAGTGTCAAAGTCTGTCTTTATATCCTTCAACCCTTACCATAAGAGTCCTGGCAACATTGCAGCCCAGAGTCCCAGCTCCCAGTAGAAGACACTTTGTGCTGACCACCTTGTCCAGGTCCAGAGAAGGAACCAGCCTCCATCTCATTAGCTTCAGATTCAGGTCCACTGATGACTCTGCAAGCCTGCACACGGTCAATGGAAAGAAAGGTTTTTTATTCTATTGTCCACAACAACAGATGACACATGCAGGGACTACAGTAACACTAAGAAAACATTTATTGGTCTCTATTGTGGAGGTGTAAACAGACCCAAACCAGTCCTTTAACATAAAGCACCAAAGGCATACTTTGCTGTTAAATTATCTGTCAATACATATTGTTAAACTCAAAATAACTTAATAATTTAATCTTTAGATGTACTAATTATTGAAATGTTCTTTAGCCTGTAGGTTTAAAAACTCCAGATACACCCTTACACCTAATCACATTTGTATTGTGTTACCTTTTAGGGTCCATACATTCACTGAGGTTGACCATTCTGGGTCCCATGGCCCCCTTAGGGTTCTTCTCCCAGCCAACACTCTTAGGACATGCTGTGAAAAAACACATTAACAGTGTAAAATAAGCAATATGTCTTTTCTGGAACAATGTCCACATTATTCTGAATTATACACAGACTTCGCTGTCAACTGTTTTTATTGTAACTACTTTCTCTTAGTCCTTGTGAAAAGTGTTGACAGCATGTCAAACAGTAAATGTTTTTATGGTTTTGTGGTTGTGTTTTTTGTGGCACACTACAACTGTAACCCAAAGGTTCTAAAAGTGCAAGGAACATTAACTACAATTTCCACTTTACTTTTTAATTTTGATATTATTTAACATGCCAATCCAAAAAAAACCAATTAATTGAGTGTTATTGGTTTACAACAAGTGTATTTGTCTATTACTTTGATGGAGATCAGATCACATTTTATGGATGAATTATGCATAAATTTCGGTACTTCCAAAGCTTTCATTTTCTTTTTCAAGGCACTGTAATTATGGAGACTGGTTAATATAATTATTAATAATAATAATAATAATAATAATGTGTTAATTGGTTCATGTGAATTAGTGATTCCACTCCAACTTCTGATTAAAAAATCATGTCCTTAAATAACTTAATTCATATAACTTTTGATTAGATTAATTCCAATAAATGAATGTAGCAGTTGGTATGGTATGTTACAGATTGTCGGGCAGGAGCAGTTAATAAAAGGCTAACAACTGTATTTAGGTGCAGAGTTGCACTCAAGCTATTAAACTTATTTGCTGAAATTAACACCATTAAATTTTCATTTTTCTTCTTTTTCTTGTGATTTTCACTCAACCCGCTCTTTCTCATACAGTTTTGATGCTAGATATGAACACTGCTTTAGCACTTCTTTTTTACTCACTGATGTTTTGGCTCCTAGATGCACAAATGTTGCTGTTTAATGCAGTGCAAAATAAACAGTGAAAGTTGTGTGGACATGGACCATTTTTATAGACCTAGTGGGTTAAATACAGTTTAACATTCCCATATCTTAGTCCAGAATCAAAATTAATCAAGAATCATTGCGTTTATTTCACCTCGCTGATATGGAAAACACTGATCCTGGTGTATCTGAAAATTTGAGCTGAAGTAGATGGATTAATCCCTCTCAAAACAATACCAAATTTGTCCATGCAAAACCAAACAGAATAGCTGAATCAATTTTTGTTGCATGAATACATCCTTTGTGAGTTAATTAAAACCCAATATGTGCTGAAGAGGTAGACTGAGGTAAACAAAGACAACTCATCTGAACTCTACAAAAACCTTCACAGATCACAGAGCTACTCCCTCTCCCACCCTGATATTAACATTTAAATTACTTTCATCCGTTATTCAGCAGATAAAGGAATAATGGAGAAGCTGCTGTGAGATTAGTGTGGCTTGAAAAGGAAGCAGACAGTCTCAGTAGCCAGCCAAAAGTTTGACCGTATTCCTGACTCATTCCATTTTTTGTAATTAAGAATGATTCAATCTTATTTATGTGAGACGTGGAAAAATATCTCACTTCATCACATATATTACTGCAGGAAATTCCATGAGATCATATTTTACTTTTAAAAAAATTATTTGGGACATTATTCTGGATAATAGGTCAATGGCAAAAAATACAAAAGCATCCTGGGACATTTTAAACTGACATTTTAATTATTTTGCAAACATCTGTCAGACACTGAAGATGACTCTCTAATCATCAGGACACCACCTCGCAATCATCTTGCACGCATTCATATAGAAGATGTGGAGGCGGGATTGATGCAGACATACAGATTCTCTATCATCATGCTCGCACTGAAGCGGAGGCTAGTCGTTGTACAATGTACATGCATAGCACATTACAACTTGTTCCTTAAAACAGTTTTATTAAAATCTAAAATTAATTATAAAAATGCAGACAGTCTGCATGTAGAGACAAAGACATCCGACATACCAACATACGTACATGTTATGTACTATTATGTGCACGCAACACATAAAAAATG